ACACTTCAACATGGCTGATACAATTTCGGTCACACTTAGTTTACCAAACAATTGTCAGTGAGCAACACTAACTTCAGCAACTATGGTTTTACAAGAGAACATCTTACCTTGATATTTCCGAGCTTCTGTTAATACATCATAGTATATGGTGGAAATCGTTTATGTCATTCTCCGCTGGCATCTTGTAATCAATGAAATCAAAAAACACGTCAGTCCATGTCTGTTGTGATGCTTAAGCAGCTGGTGCTTTGTCCTTCCCGTCTTTCATCGACAACTAATTTGTCATTTAATTACTAAAAGCGAATTCTCTTTGTGGAAGATTTCCTAAATCAATTGAACACAGTTGTAGGTTGAGTATTTCGTATAGGTATTGACAGAATACCTGTTTATAACTAAAGTCATTGTTAGCGGTAACACAAACACAATATATAGATCCAGACGCTGCGACATATATATTTAGTGGTACTTATTGACATGCTACTAATTATGGACACTGGAGCAAAAGGTGAGATGAGGGAGCTCGATGTCAATGCAGATAAGCCATAAATGTCGACTCGGCTTCCGTTTTGGTACTGAATGGCTTCCCCGCATGTAATTAGTAATAACCTGGCGTCTACCACCACCATCAGCCAATATGCCCCTGGGTATCCCACAACGAACAATAGGCACTTTCATCACTTCTGTTGCCTTCTTAGGTAATTAAAAAAGTGAGGTAACTCATTTTCCACCAAGGAGGACCACTCACTGGGAATAATTTTGAAATGCTGGGACGTTCACATCTGTGATGACATTTGTCAAGATTTCAAGATTTTCGGAGGAAGTTATATGATAGCGTTTAACCTACATGTACAGTTTTAGAAGATGACGTATATTGTTTCTAAAAAAAACATAACGTTTACGTTAATTCACACAAGCTAAAATGTAAATAATGTCATATGGAAAGTTTATTCCTGAATTCTAGATTATTAATCAATTTATGACTGGTGAAAGGTAAATTTCCCAATGGTAAATGTGTTCGCTCGTCACGCCAAAGATCCGGTTTCTATTCTCCATGTGTCCATATTGTGTGAAGCTGATTCGTGGTGACTCTCGTCGTGAGGTTGCTGGAACAAAAGCAGGATAAAAGCAAACACACTCACTCATTCATTGTGTGACCAATAAGTGTCACTGTTATCATTGTTTCGGGTTCTTCATTAACTTCATTTCATCATGTATGTGAGTGAATAAGATTTCACGCCGCTTTTAGCAATATTCCAGCAATATCACGGTGGACACCAGAAATGGGCTTCACATATTGTACTTTGGTGTGGCGAGTGAACGTTTTAACCACTAACCTACCCCACCGCCTGAACATGTAACATGACAAGTATACTTACAGAGTTGTAGTGTGGACGATTCAAAAGGCGGCGGTATTCAGACATACACTGGACATCCCAGAATCCTGTGATTATGATCCATGATCTGTCAACACTAATCCCGTGCTGTTTCAGCAAAAAGGTGATAATACCAAAAATGGGATGTCCTACAACATTAGCTTACAACTTGTTGCAATCCCTCAAAACACGACTTAAGTTCTAAAAACAGCATCTTTAACACGTCTCTTACATTTAATCTGAGGGCAAAAATCAAAGCTGTTTTCACAGCTTGTATCAATGTACTCTTAAGTAAGAATCTTTACAATGAATTATTTAAGGCAACTGAACATCAATCTTAGAATTTTCTCAGATGTTTCTAGAATCTTTAAGAAAGCAGCAAAGGTCTTTGAAGAGAATCAGTCTTGGACACTAGTGGATCGCTTCATCATCATTTGCATTAGAGAGATGACACCTTCTGCTAGCCTCTCCTCCCACAAATTGCCTGACCAAAGGAACGCTTCTCTTTTGTCAGTGCCATGCTACATTTGCCAACAACCCCCTCTCCGGCCAACGCATCAGCAGCTACCTCCAGACTGTCGTCTCAAGGAATGATTGATTAAGGTATTTCTAAGGAATGTAAACTATTCCCTTTCAATTAGACGAGACACCATTCTAGATTAGCATTCGACATGTAATTCCAGTTGATATTTCCACGTGTATATAATGGAACTATCAAACTTACGTTGGTCCTGTCTTTCTCTTCACACGATGTATGGAAACAACTATTCACATAGAAAGTTTTGTTTTTAGTATTTTCTTCTTCTGTTCTTGTAAAAACATAGCTCTGAAAATATAATTCGCAAAATCAGTGGTGTATTTTATCACATACAGTCAACTGTCTTGTTCATTATTAGCTTGTGGTTAACGAATATTGAAAATGTCTCACATGAAACCTTTCACAGACTATGTTTGATGCTACTATTGAAAGGAATCCTTGCCCTTTGTAATTGGCATTCAACGCGAATTTCACTCAAGCTAATCTAGATTGAGTTTTTTTGTCTTCTACTTAGACCTCTATCATGTGAATAAATGTAGAAAATTTAAAACCCACATTACAGAGATCTACTTCTACATTTACAACTATCAGTGATTCAAACGTCTAGACCATGAATGCAAATAGGCACCCGACTTCAGCGGATTGTCTCCTTTTGGTTTTTCTATTCTTTTACCGTTCCCACAGAATGTCAAGCACCACACTCCGACACAGTATGGCATTATCTGAGTCTGTGTGTCGATAGTGTTTCACTGTACCTTCAGTATTGAATATCGCTGCCAATAGTTAATGCTTTCTCGACATCAAACTTATCTGCAAACCAGTAACAATGGCTTACATTGTGCAATGTTTACCAAATTTCAATGTTTGTCGTATCTCGACACAATTTTTAAAACTTGATCTTCCGATCACCTGTAAGATCAGGTAATGAGAGATCTCCGTCTGGTGATAACACGAGAACTAGAAGATATATGACATAGGTTTCAAGCTACTATTCCATCATCTGGCTTATCAATCAGCAAATAAGTCACTGTTATGCTTTTCCGTGGCCAATATGCGGGTCAGATAACCAAGATGGCATTTAGAGCGAAGGAATGGCTTCAAATGCTTATCTAAACATCCTGTGTGATATCGCTATTACTGACTCTGTTGAACGATCACGCAACCGTGTGACGTGCGATAACCAAGAGACCAGGGACAGATCCAAGAACAGCCATCGACCGTGTGTTCCTGCAAACTGTTGGCAGCGTCTATCACAGTATCTTGTCAGTCTCCTGTCCGTACTGGCCTTTGTAAAGTGCACAAATACCGAAGTAATTCATCATCTCGGTCCAGTTCTACTCCATCAACACAGTAACAGGCCTTACACCACGAACGTAGCTATGAAAAAATGTAGCAACATATAGGTCTCGAGGTCTATCGCGAGAGGACACGAGAAATGATGAATGTGGCACATTGGCCCTCTCTGCTACCCAACCTAGTAGGGGTATGAGTTTATGGCGCCGTAATATCGACCAGCGGAGAATGAAAGATTACTGAGGTAGGATGTAGGTTAACAGATGAAATGCACAAACATCGGAAATCTCTATTTCCTGTTAAGGGAATTAAATTGAGAGTGGTTCCAACTTGAGCAGAGCAATAGAAAATTTGAAGCGGTTATCTCAATGCAAGCGTTAACGAAAGCTTTGTTTTATCGACAAAAAGAGATTCTTTCAAAAACATTGAGACTGAAAGTTGTACTTAATTCTGTCTCAGTGTTTCAAAGCACTAGAGATTATGGCGATTTAAATTTATCGCAGATGATAAAGGGTAATGAGTGTTATATGACCGATTACCATGGCAACTAACGACCAATACAATATAATAGCAATTCCATCCGTCTGTCTAGGTCATGATGCTCATGATTCTGAAATTAAAAATATCAAATTACACCCTTGGGTATGTTTTGTCTGTTATTTCCTTAAATATCAGAAGTAAAATACCAACTGAACAAGAGCATTGCGGCCAAACTTTCAATGTTTCCAACGACTGCGACTTCAAGATGTTTGGTAACTTTTGTAGTTTAGTGAATGATGTGGGGTGTGCGTTTTTGAACATTCCTCATATGACAAGAACTGCCTACTGTGGGAAGAAATCCCGAAGTACTGAAGGTTTTAGACGTGTATAATTTCACTGACAAATCTAGAAACCTAATCGGGACGAACCGGGATTCGAACCCACGATTATTGGATTTGGGCGCAACTCTGTACACTTGGTCACCTGTGTCCCCATCGTATATAGTTTTAACAAGACATTAGAGACTAAAACGGATGGGTCACAATTATAAAAGTAACCAATTCTGGCTGATAATGGGACAAAGCATTTTGTGTTATTGTAGTGTAACTAGTATCTGTAGTAGTAGAAGTTATTGTTGTTGTAGTAGTATCAATAGTAGTTGTTGTGTAGGGAAGGGGGAGTGCTGGTAGTAGCTTTAGTAGTGGTTGTTGTGTAGGGAAGGGGGAGTGCTGGTAGTAGCTTTTAGTAGTGGTTGTTGTGTAGGGGGATGGGTTGCTATTGTAGTAGTAGCAGTAGTAGTAGTAGTAGCTGTTTGGGTTCCAGGGGGAGGCGTACTGCTAGTAGTAGTAATGGTCGTCAAATATGCGAAAACACATCCATCAACTTCTTTTCGATCAAGACTGGCAATATCAGAACTTAATTTGTTTCAGTATCAGTCTTGTTTTTTTCACAGGCCATTTAATTAAGTTGTGTAGAATGCTTCACAATAGTGCCTTTGGCCCCAGAGCCTGGTATTGGATGTTCCCTGTCTACATCCCCTTGTAAGAATATACCAAATCTGCGAGTATCTCATCCTCTGGAACACCACGTGCAAGCAACAAGAACCCACTCATCAAGTGGAACCATCATCCATCCGTGACCAACTTTAAATGCACTCTAACCCTACAAGTTGCAACAGTATACAACCCTGTCCCGCTACCATCCTTAACTGAACTGTAATATTGCCCTAGACCTTATCCCGCGTGTGAGTATCGATCTCCGACAAGCTAGCGATCATTGGACGGTCTGCTTGGCGCTGCGTTCACAGTACCCTTCTTTCGCTGCCACTCACTTAGTCACGTCAGATTGAGGCATACCTATAAATGCCCGACCTCGGCAAGTGGCACGTCACTTATGAGTTGTCCTGCAGTAGCGGGAAGTCGGGGGAAATGGACATAGAGAGGGATTTACGCAGTGGTTATACTTACACTACAAGGATTCCCATCTTCCAAGTAAGTGGGCGTGTTTTTATAAACAAGCAAGAGGCAGTTAAGTTTATTGAGCTAAAGAAAACAGTATCAGAATGTGCCTGAATTAGGCGTGTGATAACAGAACGATGTCATTCAAATCCTGCAGTGTATCTCACTCAATGAATGTGGAACTATGTATCATCTGTCTGTCTGCCTGCCCGTCTGTCTGTCTGTCTGTCTGTCTGTCTGTGTATGTATGTGTGTGTGAGTTAACATTTCCATAATGATGCGGAGGTAAACTACAAACACTCGATAAACCTAATTGCTATGATATCAACAATAATTTGTTTCATTTTGCTGAAAGAAAATCTTTGTTCAGCCTACAGTCTTGCCCAAGAGAAAAGCGTGACCATCAATGTCGTGAGGCGATCGCACAGTCCGATCAGCAATGTTCTACCTATATAAACGAAGCTAAGGCCGCGGCTTGTCTTGGCTTTGCTTCATAATCCAAAATCAATAGTAATGGGACTTAATAAAGATGTTTCTAAATCAATGAATTAGTATCCGTCACCCATTATCACGATATTCCGCTCAAAACCTACCTTCAACGTAAATGATATGCTGAAGGTATTTCATGAAACGTTGGAATGTCGTATACAGTAGGATATGAAATCATAGACTTGACTTCATCACGAGACTTGGATGAACTTTATCCATCGCCTTCAGCAATGTGTGCAATGAATCGAATGTTACTGGGTTTCATTAGACTTTAAAAACTGTCATTGTTCTATCTTTGCTAACATATCATTACAAGTGGCAGAAATGCTGTCAATTAAACATGGGAAAATAGAACTGGATGTTTTATTAATTGTTTTATGTTGTGGTACTACCTGGCTTCATCAAGGTGTGTCATTTCCTGTGTTTTAGTTGTATCATCAGTACAGAGGGTCGAACTCGGGTACATTAATGCTTCGTCATGATGCATATCATATCAATATTTAATGTAAACACGTTGGGACGGAACTGCAAATTAAAACAAGGGTTCTACGAAAAACAGGTATAGAAAGTTATTTTTCAAAACGGACATGTTTGGACCACAAGAGTGTTGACATGAAACCCTGAAACGATTACACCGTGTACCACTATGCAAACAGTTTAAACATAACAGCTCATCGATTGATCACAAGAGCTATTGATGAAACAATTGCCAAAGTGATTGCGAAACTTTTGGAATAGTTATAGCCCTTATCAATATTGTTTCATCAACGTAATGCTTTATATATTGTTCTGTTGTCATAAGGAATGCTTATGAACTCGGTAATTACGTTACTGGGAGGTTTAAAGAGATGCGATGCAAACACAATTCTCTTTACCATGCTGTCATTCATGGACTGTGTATATCATTCTGTCTTCAAAGTGATCATGGCACTGTTTTTCAGTATGATGAATTCATTTAAATGTAGGTTTTTCCCACTAATTGACACATTACAGTTTGAAGGAAGTTACAAATAATGTCATATTTACAATAATTTCCGTCTTTAATGCTATTAATAGAAATACTTCATTGATCACAAAATCGTAAGACACAGCAGAACATGCATACATTGGTCTGCATAATCCCATGCATATATAATTCCACACATCTTATAAGAAGCATTCCATTAACCTTTTTACATTCCCAGAGTGCAACATATCAATAGCAGTTCAAAAGCAGTTAAAACTGTTAATATATATTATGTAAAAACATACATATATACATGCCCTTACATATATGATTGTCCTTGAACAACGGCCTTTGCTATCGCATATGTGTGTGAGTTCGTTCAAAAAATCGCCATCGTTTAACAATTGATTTTCACTTAGGATTCAATAAACACTCGACTCAATGGAGTAAATTTCATAGAAAATTAACGATTTGGTAAAGAGCCCCATCAAAACAGTTTGAAACGTTCAACTGTGCTTGTCTTCGCCCGTGTTCAAACATTAGATTTAAAGAACATGTTTTAGGTATTGATGTCAACAATTCACTGCCAATGAATACCGAGGACATGGCATATTTCAGGTCCGATCTGAATTCGAAACCTACTCGTGTCGGAAAAAATAACGGAAATGCTATCTTCTTCATCCTCAATTTAACGTGAATATCGTCAACAGTACTGAATAGGATCTGTTATACCGCATCTATAATATAAAGGATTTTCCTGGAAACTAGAAAGACAATTACGCCATGTTGATCAGCTGATAGGTGTGCCCTACATAATTATAAGCTTTGCGAATTTCCACGAGACGATCTATACACAAAACATCCCAGATGCCATATCTGGGTTGAACTCGTTCACAATTGATCGCTTTTTACTCTGAAATTGCCAACTCTTAAGTTTTCCGCCGGACAATATCGACAAACAGCGCATTACAGAACCTGATCTATACTTCTACTTCTCTTACGCATATTAAAGGAATTATGAGGCTGTTTAAGATCAGTGTAAGATGACGTACTGAAGGGAACGTCGGTTGCAAAAACATCGTACATTACACAACTGCCAAGCATGTGACTCGATTACGTATGATTATATTTTTAACATCGACGTCGGGTATGATTAATGCGAAGCTTGCTGGAGGTTTTGTATTGATACATAGCACTTAAACCAATATGAAGACGCCAAATATAGATACGCCACCATATTCTTTTAAGGCAAATATTGCTTTAACATGGTGCAAAGATAGGGTTATTTGGTATGTGTTATACGGATGCGGTTACAGCTTGTCGGTTGTGCAGCTACCGCAAGGCAATCTAAAGCAGCTGTTTTAAAGAGTTCGCGGATAGGAAGAGCATCGTTGTGGCTGTGGCTGGCATGCTCTGTAACTGAATCCAATTTGATGTGTGGGCAGCGTTTGGAACAAGCATCAGGTCCTGAGACATATTTCCTAAAGCTTAACATAGCCTTCCTACAGAAGAAAAATACAAGCCAAAAACCCTTTCCCCATCGATAGGAATTGTCAGCTAAAAGACCGAATCGATTGTGCAATTCCATCTATGTTATGATCATGTGTTTATGAATCACTGTCAAAATAATAATGATACTTGGTGTGAGAGTGTCCTTCCCGAACGACGGCACCCGTCTCAAACCGATGCAAATGCTTGCTATTGTTCATCTGAAAATGTTCGGGTGCGTACGGTAAAAGTCAAGACAAGGAATTTCATGGCTTGAATGCTGTAAGTTCTGATCCAGCCACTTATGCACAAGAGACTTTGAAATCTTGTTAAAAGAAGCATGCTCTATTGTACCTCAAAGGTTTTGAAATGCAAACACGAAAGGCTGACGCTGTTGGAATATTGCTCAGCACGAAACCCAACGTTAGCTTTGTGAAACGTTCACAATGGCTTACATCGTACTCTGCAGGCGGGTGTTTGTCACATTCATGGCGATTCTGGATGCCCCAAGTACAACAGTAGTTGTCCGTTAAAGTGATAATTGCATAGTTGGTGAGAGAGGGGTTCCGTAAAGCACCTTTGTAACTTTCGTGTGGTGCTTCTTTGTAGTTAAACACCGTTATAAGGGCACTCGCCCCTGGCCCAGGCACCAATAGCAGGTCATAGAGTCTGAAGACACCATTCCCTTATATATTGTCTCTTTCGAAAAACGGAGAGGTGGGGAAGGTAGATGATTCAAGAGTTAGCTCCTCCGAAGATTCGGGTTCTATTCCTAACATTTGCACAATAGAATGTTTGAAGCACATTTCTGGTGGCACTAATCGTGATAGTGTTGGAATATTGTTAAACGCGACGTACAATCATACCCACTCACTCACTCACAATTATGACAAGCAGGACGTACTGGTGATCTGCTCTAACTCGGTATACCAAAGGGATCTATATGATAATTACAGAGATATCAAAGTAGAAATTGTAAAAAAGTTGTAATTGTATAAACCGAAACTACTCGTATCTTCAGTACGAATAATTGTCATCCAGCCTTGTTGCATTGTATCCTATCTAACAGAGCGGAACGTGAAGACTTCTACCTAATGTGCTCGACATAACATCAGAAACACCCTACTCACGTCCTCGATAAAGTAAGTCGACGAATTGAAACCGTGGTTTTCATAGATGTTTCAGAAGAATACATTATATATACGACCGTTAACCATTTTGTCAGGGTAGGCGCTCATTTGTTGTAGTCACTGGATACATTATTCCATTTGATTACAATGTTTATCGCTCTCACGGGACTTAGCGTGTCAACCAGCTGTAAATATGCATGGGACATACCTACATACGTATGCATGGAAGAACGTCATCTGACATCATGCATGATGTATTAACGTCCTCAGGTCGGACTATTGTGTGATGTTAATTCTGATTGTGGCCTTTCTGTGACTGAGTGCAATGTTTCAAATGAAGGGAGTAGCGGTTGGTTTATACAGACATGCACAATAGCAGAAGGAACAAAGCGATACCGTTCAAACATAGTGTTAGGAGCTGCAATATTTATAATATTTCAATAGTCTATCATGAAAATGCCATACAAGGCCATGCCATACAAGGCCATGCCATACAAGGCCATATCATACAAGGCCATATGAGGCAGGGCCATGCCATGCATAGACATACGAGGCAAGGTCGTATGATGCAGGGCCAAGTCATGCATAGACATACGAGGACATGTGAGACGAGGTTAAAGTCATACCGGACATAACACTCTCTAAGGCCATACAAGGCCGTACACCTCTCGCTATCACCCAATACCGAAAACGATACTTGTCTCTTGCATGACCCAGCAAGTGTCATATCATTCGTGAACAGTTAAATCGCAAAGGCCACAAGCATCTCGGTCGATACCACTCCAAATGTTATAAAATCGCGTATGTTGCAAGCATGAAATGCCCAAGTCCCATGATGGGGTCCTGACAACAGACCCTCTGAAACAAGGTCAGACGCGATGTCCACATGTCCAAACCTGATATGGTAAGGATGGCATCTGTGTAATGACGCCGGGCCATGTTGTGTATTCCTCGTTACACAGGGCAGGGCAGGGCAGGGC